CTGTTAACGCGATGCATTAAGAAGGTAACAAGAATAAGCTCACATATTTCTCGTATTAACCGGGCTATATTCGCAGAAGCCTGCTAGCACTGTGTCCGCATATTAACGGATACAGGAACAGGGACTCGATGTGAACAACTCGCAACAGGATCGGATTGTAAACCTACTGTTATTCTGTTATGTTCCTTTTGCGACAGAAACTTTCTTTTAACAACTTTTATCGGTTTTTGATTTTCCGTGGATATTTAAATTGTCATACAAGAGAGGGTCGCGGGTTTTGAATATAAATAAATATTCAGCGAAACAAATTTCAATAAACTATTCTCACTAGAAACTTAACGCCAATTATATCACCGGGCACCAGTATTTAAACAAAAATTGAATGAGACCATAAATTCGGGAATGGGTCTGACAACCCCCATACGTACTGTGCCTAACCTAAGCATTATTTCCTACCCTCCACTGACTCATACCTTGCTTTGGTTTTATCTTGCGCTATAATGACTGTTTCCCGAGGGTATAACCTTGAAAGATTAGCATATTATCATGTGTACGGACTATTTGTAGGTCGGGTACCCCCACCCTAGTGCCCTCATCTTTATTTATAATATAACACTCGCAGTAAAACTGCTAAGGGACGACGTCAAAAGATCGATGTCGGATAAGAAACTTAATTCCTTTAGTTCTTTTCCAAACCCCCCTACCCCCCACTGAAACTTAATTGATAAATATTGGTCATGGCGTCAGACTACATTCACCATTAAATACAAATCGATAATCGGACAGTAGTATTGCATAGCAGTTGGTTGTCGGGTGGGTGTAAACAGATTTTACAAATGCATCCTCATTTGACGCACAGATTTACACTCGAACCAAACCATTTTTCTGTGTTTTTTTCCCCTTTTCGGTTATTTCTGTCCATGATTGGATAGAAAAAAAACGAACTACAAATACTCCAAGATTTTGTTTACTTCATTAAAAAATAAAATCGTTTTTGTAGGATGGAAACTTTTTGAGGTCAAACCCCCCCCCCCCACCCCCAAACTAAAGGAAATAAGTTTTTTATCCAACATCGATCTTTTGACGTCGTCCCTAACTCACTATCAAGACTAGGTGAAATCCCCTGTCTATGTCTGTCATATGCGAAATGCAATCACCATGTGCACACGCTTTCGATATTATTGTTCAATTTCATAGTCACTGCTACATTGTTGGCGAAATATAATCACATGTTCGTTACACGAAGAATCTTCTTCACTTGGAGTGATCCTGTCTTACCCCCTCACCAGACGACCGTAGTGACCGCCCCCCTTACATCGCATCCGAACAAATTGGGGCAATTAACGTAACTTTCAGTAACAGAAATACTGAAGGCTTGACAGCGTTCGTCGTGACTTGTGTGTTCGTATTTGTGTGTGTGTGTGTGTGTGTGTGTGTGTGCTTGCCGTCGCGTTGAAATTGAGTTAGCACATTTTGCAACAACGTGCTTACAATGTTTAATCTTGGCCTAGTTAAACATGATAGCAATAGTAACAACACAGCATAGGGTAACGTAACGATGGCTTGATATCTTATAATCAGATAAGGAATCCTAGACCGGCAATGTCCGTGCTGAGGAGGCAATACTAACAATGCCATAAATAGTTCGTACGAGGATTGAGGCATATAAAAAACACACCTATTAATCGCGGTGTAATTTTTAAAGATTGATTAAAAAAGTTCTGGCGACGTATTCATTGCAATATTGCTACTGAAAACTGGGGTTATGACTTTAGGATAAGTTGTGTGATAAAAGGCGTGGTGGTGTGAACTCATCTTTCGATTTAGATATTCCGTGTTATAGTCACACGTGTCTATTAATGAAAACAAACTGTACTGATTGGATCTGACCCCCAGAACGTCTAGATACTAATTATATGTAAATGTCTGATGCGATTGTACGGTGGGAATATAGCTGTAGTTTAATCACACTCGAGGGAATATTGGAAAACGAATTAGAAAAATACCACTGTCGTACCTATAATTATTCCATCATTTATATAGCATGTTTATTCATTCCTATTGTCATTACACGCCTCCCCTGGCGTTACTTGAACTTGGACGCTGTATGTCTTTATAATGTATCGAAACTGTGCGCATTGGAACTCTATAGAGATACAATTTCTGTAAGAATCACAAACATACGATGGAAACAAACACTAATGTGATTTGCTGCTGTGTTTCTCATTTTTGTTACAAAGTATCGATCAGTCAAATTAAAAAACAAAAAAACAAAAAACTTGTGACATGTGTTCTAAACATTTTCTAAAAAAACAAACGTGGTCAGTTTGGTAGTTAGATGCCGGAAATCACTGCTCTTATTTTGAAAGCGATGCAGTGAAATGCTACAACACACCAATGTGATCAATAGCTGGCAATAAAATATTTACTAGAAGTTTACAAGAGACGTTATGAATAAGATTGATTGTACCCGGCGCACTGCTCAACTGATCAGTTTGTACAAGTAGAACCAGAAGCCGAAAAAGACAGTCGACATATGGCAACGGACGTTAATAACATCCTACACAAACACCGATAGATATACATCAATAGTTCAAAACTATTATTACGTTTTCGTAAGGCTGGACTTGAGCTAAAATTTTAATTTCTGAAGTTTATTATAAGTTTCTTGGTGAGTAGATAATTGTCTTGACATTGTTATATAGTGCTAGAACAAACACGTGCTAGTCTAAAAAAACCATAACTACAGTGTATGGATCACTGTAAATTAAAATGTTATATCAATTAAGCGCGCGGACGAATAATTATATTTATCACAGTGATTCGGTGTTGGCCGCACCACCACCCTTGTGTGTATACCTACGTTGTCCATCTCATATAC